GATGGATGGATGGATGGATGGATGGATGGATGGATGGATGGATGGATACCTGTGCTTCTTTATGCAACAAAAGAATCAAAACGTGCAATAGTGGAATGTGTTGGAAAACAGAATTTCAAGAGTATTTCACATATTATACTTTGTCTAAACTTTAACACAACTTAATTTTGTTTTTATAGTATGGAACAAACAACAGCAACAACAACAACAACAAAGATAAGTCTGTATGGGTGTTGCGTTCGGGAATACTGAACTGTGCCTTTTCGTTTCTACACTGAAGCAAGCAGCAGCCTCTTTGGCGATTAAAAAAAAAAAAAGAGTTCATGAAACTAATTTTTGAAAAAGCACACACATAAATATGTTGTGGAGTTTTAGTTTGTTTACAAATGAATTCATTGATTTTCGCCTAGAAAAAAGTTGAGATATAAACGGTTTTAATTTTCAATTTCAAAAATTCTAAGTGGAGTGAGGTAAAAGAAGGACACGAAGAGAAAGAAACAAAAAGGCTTTGTTTCTGAGTATCTCGGTCCTTGATCTCCAGTCAAAACTTGCTCCAGTTTCACTTCCTCCATCGAAGGAAACGATGGTTGTGATTGGGGTTTTCTGCTCCTGTTCTCACTCTCTCCCTGTCTGTTTGCCCGCAAACACCCCCTGTCGCTCTCATGGCGCCATAAATCAGCCTCTTTATGCGCTTCTTTATAAATATCTTTGCCAACATTTTTTACTTTGAATTTGCTTGTTAAATATTGTTGTTACACAAAAATCTAAAAGTTTGGAAGAGAAACATCTGCACCTTTTAAAACCACCAAGTCCGTAAACTGTGCTAATATTGAACAAAATTACGTAAGCAATGTTTTTTTTTTTTTTTTTCATCCAAGAAAAAAGATGAACCGTAACACTCGGTGAGTATTTTGTGAATGTCACAGCAGGGACGGATCATTGATTCAGCAGAGCTGTTTTTAAAGAAAGGTGTGTTGTTGTTTTTTTTTTTTATCACGATCAAAGGCAGATGACTGAGAAATCTTGGCTGCACTTTGCTTCTGTTGGTTGTTAGCTGATCCAATCGCAGGGCACTTAGAGCAACACTTGACACCAACACATGTCAGAACGATGCCAAAACTAACAAATCAGGAGGCATCAAACTGCTGAGCGTAACTAAAACGGAAGAAGAAAAACAAAAGGTGTGTTCTTATTTTAGAATAAAAATAATTAAATGTGTGCATTTACATGTAACAAGTTGAGATTGTGTCTTAGTCACTAAAAATGGAATAAAATAACTAAATATTTCTGTACATATGACCACAGGTCTGTTTTATAAACGTAAAGAACTTGGTAACTCCTTTTCCATAGCTTAGCTTTTCTATAATTTATGATACAGTAATCCCTCGCTACTTCGTGGTTCGACATTTACGGACTCGCTTTTTCGCAAATTTTCAACAATTGTCAACTTTAATATTATTTGCGTGATTGGGACAGTACAGATAAAAAGTTAACCAAAAAAAATACTTAGGACAGGCTCTGCCATTTTGTATTTTCTTTCAATTAGCCTATACTGTCAGGCCAGTCAAAGAACTACAGTACCCAGAAGGCAACAGTGCTTCCAGCCACTGTTTTCTGCCAAAAATGGAGGGAAAGTTTCAACCCTGACTAAAAAGTTTGGTCCTTATTCATAATGACTTCGGAGCTCAGTGACTGCAGAGAGCCGATCAGAACCGTATCACAACTGGACCAAGGCTGGTGAGTTCCTCATATAAAAGTTTGCAGTAGCTACTGTGCAGTATGTGTACGCATATTGTTAAAATAAAGAGTTTAGAATATTGCGGGCTTCATCACTGCAGGATAGGTCTGCATAACCATAACCAAACCTGATCGACCGGAAACAAAATGCTGTTCTGTACAGCTGCTGAGTAAAATTTTGCAGTATTGTACAGTACATATACATACGTTGTTAAAATTACATAAGTTTAAGAGTTTAGAACATTGCAAGAGTGTGGGAAGGGTTTATAAAGCCTTAAAGTATATAAATACTAAAATAAATATAGTGTTCCTACTTCGTGGTTTTTCACTTTTTGCGGGGGTGTCCAGAATGTAACCCCCACGATAAACAAGACACTACCGTAATTTATTGAACGCAGCAAGGTTTTGTAGTTATTTACAGTACTTCCCAGGTATAGCCTGTGGTTTCTCTCTGCTGTTAGCGCACATAGAGTCCAGGACTGAAAAGACAATATGTTGAGTGAAGAAAACCAGCATATTTGTCATTAAAAGAGAATATAAATATTCACATTCTGGGCCTTTGATAGAGAAAGACTTTTTGAGGGGCACCTCACTGAATTTCAATTTTGAAGACCACTAGTCGAAATCAAAAACTCAAATTCTCACAATAGTTTAATTTGAATATATCCAGCTGAGAATATGGAATGTGCCACTTTAAAACTCTGATACTAAAGAATCACAGACAAGAACACCTGAGATACTTTCTGCTTCTAGTAAAAGTTTTGAACGAGTGTAAAAAGCAAATAAATAGTCTCTAAGTACAAGTCAAACTTTGCAAATAATAGCAAACAATGCTTTTATTTCTACATTGAATTAATGTAAGTTTCTTCCAGCTGCTCCCTTCTGCAGGGGTTGCCACAGCAAGTGAACATCTGGATTACATGACCACCACTGACCAATAAGATAAAGTAAAATTTGTAGTAGTAACGTACGTACGTACGCCACCAACTGTAGTATGACAATATAGGGAAATATATTCATACTTTTCACGAGTTCCTCATCTTTCTGACTGTGTAAATGTCGTGCATTGAATCTTAACAGAAATGTAACGAGAGAGACGTTATTTATCTTTGACCCATCAAATGAATGCGGTCATTTATTTTCAGAATCAAAGTTTAACATCAAACATTTACATTAATTTGGCAAAATATGAAAATAATAACAGACAAGTTTCACAGAAAATGGGCTTCAATCACGCGGCGGTGATTGAGGACTTTGCTTCAGATATTTCTAAAATATCTGTACTGATTTTAGGAGAAAGCAGAGTTTAAGATGGAGATTTATCTTACAGAGAGATATGTGAGGGAATTAATCTGTTATGACCAGAACGTGCACGCTCCATCAGATCTCAGCTTGCGACGGTACGCTCAGTTGAAGTAGATCGTTACCTGGTTGACGATGAAATCAGCTCGGTATAGAATCCTTCAGACTCTTTCAGCGTCTCCGTTGAGCAGCTGAAATCCTTCGAGAGTCGTGCGTGGTGTTCAAACAGAAATTATAATCCCAACATCGTCACTGCGTTCTGTATTCCAACGGAAGCACTCTGGGCTTCAGACATCAGACTTTCTCCATCGGACATCAGAGTTTTCTCCTTCAGCCTTCAGAACTCTCAGACTCTAGAACTTCTTCAGAACCTCCATCACTCTGAGACTCTTACTCTCTATCACTCCCAGACTCTAACAGAACCGGGAAGTTGCCACATTTTAAATGAGTTGACTTCCGGGTCAATTTTAGAGCTTTCTGATTCGTGGATGGACCAGAAAGAGGTGTGTTTTGTGACGTAAGATGTTATGATAAGCCAAGGGCAGAGAATGAGATTGCTTAACAGAAAGAAAAGATTATTGGAGAAACAGCAGACTTCGTGGAGTCTCTACTCTGATTATCTTCTCAAATAGTTAAACATGACATTTTCTTCTCAGTAAACATTTTAGTTGACCAAGACTCGACCTTTCACATACTTACAAAACTTGGCTCATTTCAGACAGAAAATCAAGAAATGCATATTAACCTGATTTCTTCTTTGAATGAGGAATAAAAATCATTACTTACTGTTTATGTAAAATAAAAATGAGTAGTTCTCTTCAACCTGTGAGTCATTGAGTGAACTGACACAATTTGATTATCAAACATTTGTAAAATAGTAATGATTATAAAAAGAGAGTGTTCTTTTCACTTGAATCTTCAAGAAAGAAAGTCTCCAGATGGCTCAAACTGTATTCAGATCAATGAAATAACAGTCTCTGTCCATCTGATAGATTTGAGGTCATCAGGGTCAGATCAGGTTCACTACAAATTAAACAAACCTTTCAGACGTTTTAACTGAGTACATTCAGATTATTTCATGACTTTACATTTTTGCTATACTTTTGGTTTAATAAAGCATAACAGAATATTTTGTTTGATCTATTTTGACAATGATTTGCAGCATCATATGGCATGAACTCTCTCTCTCTCTTTCTCTCTCGCTCTCTCTTTCTCTATATATATATATATATATAAAATTATACAAATATATATATTTATATAGTATATATATTTATATAATTAAACAAATATATATATATTATACATATAAATACATATACACATATATACATATATATACATATAATATATATACATAGAATATATATATATATTATATATATATAATATATATATATATATATTTATATATATATATATATATATATATATATATAAAATGCATATATATATAAAATCAGTGGTGGAGAAAGTACTCAAACTCTGTACTTAAGTAAAAGTACAAATAAACAGACAAAAATGTACTCTAGTAAAAGTAGAAGTACCACATTAACATTTTTACTTAAGTAAAAGTAAATAGGTGTATGCTTTTAAAATATTTAAAGTATTAAAAGTAAAAGTACTTGCTGAATGTATTACCTAATGTAATGGTCTGCATATCTTTAAGTCTGTGTACCATATGTATATTTTCTGTAATACATTAATAGTGTTGTTCCATTTTAATGAACGATGCTGCAGATAATACATGTTTTTATTGTGTTTACTTTGTGACACAGTTCACACTTGGACTTGTGATTCTGTGTGTCAGAATTTCAGGGATGACCTGCAGAGTTAAATGCCATTAATCAAAATAAGAAAGAGGAATGATTCTTTGAAAGTTTTTATTTAACACAAAGCAAAACCAATGTGTCATTTTAACTGCAGTAAACACATTTAAGTAAAAGTTGTCTGCCTGAACAAAAGGGGCATTAGACACAACTGACAAAGGAACAGGCTCTGATCATTTCAACTAATATTTCAACTCCAGTTTGTCATCAACTCTAGTTAAAATACTGTCTATTCAACCTTGTAATGAGTCAATATTCGCTTGTCTCATGTCCTAACATTATGAACTGACACATTTTAATATTGCAGCAAGAATTTCTTGTTCAAGTTCAGAAGAAGTTGGTTTTCAAAGATTTTTGAGTCCAGTCTGGCTCTTTTGGGAGAGAGAATCTGTAATGTTGTACTGAACAGTCTTTCAATAAGGCCATGGGTGGAGCATATCTTCTGGCTCTTGCGGTGGAATACATTTTGGGTGTGTTAGTGGTGCTGCAGGTGCACCCAGCTCAGTGACATATATACTAGAATATATGTCATTGGCTCAGCTCTTCTTGAAGGCGGGTCTAACGTTACCTGCCCACTTTGCAGTGATTCCATGGACCAACTCCCCTCTCACCATTGGTTACTTTCAAAGTAACAAACAAAATCAAAAAGCCGCAACATGAATGTAACTTGTAATGCAACGCATTTTAGAAATGTAGTGAAGTAGAAAGTACAGATACTTTATGTAAAATGTAGTGAAGTAAAAGTATAAAGTACCCACATTTAACTCTACTTAAGTAAAGTACAGATACATGAAAA